TCTGGCACGCTCCCCTTTCACGGCTCCCATTTCTAAGAGGATAAAGTCTGAACCTCCTGGCATTTCTTAAGAGGCACTCTGAGGCACTGCCAGAATCTCGAGTCTCATCTACTGCCACGTCCCCATATGTCCCCTGTACTTGTTACACCAAACCATTTGGAGTTCTCTGAATATTACATGTTCTTTTATGCTTTTGTGCCTTTGCCTCAGTCCAGAATGGCTGCCAAACCCCCATCCTCATGTCCTTACCTATCAACCCTTCCCATCATCTCTGTGCTGGGGAGTGTCGCTGGCTTTGAAATGTAGATCATATCACAGCCTCCTCGAGCATCTCTTCCCCCAGGCTGAGACTCCCTTAGAAGCAGGGCCTTTTCATATAACAGTACTTTGGAGAGTACCTGGCAGGTATTAGACCTGTAATAGATATTCAGATGACTAAAAGGACAGTACATTTATCTTTTAATAATGTATATAAATACTAACCTGAATGCCAAATAACACTCTTGACAAACTACAGTGTCTGTCGCTGGCTAAGCACACACTCCTGAGAGAGAGATCAGGCGTGTTGATAGTTGAGCAGTAAAATGTCAAGTTTATTACATAAATAACCTTGATCTTCTCGGAATATGTTTCTTCTGTCTCACATAGTTATGTTTCCTTGTCACACCCTCCTAAAATGGGATTCTAGTCAGGACTCAGTAGTAAAATGTTGCTCCACACTTAAAATTGATGAATCTGCCCTGAAAACTTTGAGGAATTTTTTTTGAGGTGAGTTTTTTTTTCTTTTGAGATTGGCAAGGGATTCTTAAACCAATCAAAATGTATGTGTTCCAAGCCCCACATTGCAATACTTGTTCATGAGCTGTTATGAAAGCTTCAGGGCAAAGCAAAGAAGCACTAGAGGAAAAGATGTTTCATGCATTTCCAGCTGCAAAAAGGAGTAACATTTCATGTGGGAGTGAGTGATGTATTCATTGTAGAATTTCTCCCCTAGAGGGATAATAGGACATTGCTTTTTCAGCTTTCAAAAGGGTATTACAAACATTCGCTCCCAACACAAATACCACATTTGACCTCATTCTGCTCTCACTCAGGAAAACATTTTTTCCTTACTATCCTAACAATTATTGATGATTCTGTTGGTGATGTAATTTCTGATAAAGTTTTCAGGAAGCTTTGGAAATCATTATGAGATCTTACTGGGATTGCCAGATGTGAAGCAGAATTAGAATCGAACAGTTGGGCTTTGGCTGGGATGATATTATGAAAAGCATTGTTACTGGAAACAAGACTCAAAGGGTAGGACTCAATAAGCACTTCCTCCGGTTTTTTTGTTTTTGTTTTTGTATTTATGTTAACACTTTGGACCCAAGGGTAGATGTTGGGATTGCTCTTTTAAAATATTTTACAGATGATCTAGAAAAGAAGGAGATTTTTAGCTTTTAAGAAAGTAGACTTGATTGGCACAAGCTGGGAGAAAGTTCCACAATGTTATGTGAGTGGGCAGGAGAGGAGCAGCTGGGACCTCATTTTCAATGACTTCAGCTTTTAAGTAGTCCCTCCTTTCTTCACCTGATGAAATGCTGTGATTGTTCTTATTCAGCAGGGTTAGTTTCTTATTTCTTATCCCACAGTGCTTTTTGGTTTTAAAATCTATATTTTCTCCTTGTGCATACATAATATATATACGTATATAAATTATTCATGTGTTTAAAAATCTTCACAGATTTTATTTTATAATCTTTCTTTCATTGCTTTGCTCTCCTATTTTCTTCTCCTCACTTATTCTCCAATACCTTTCTTATGGTCAGACAGGTCATTTAGTAGAAATAACCAGATAAAGTATTTACTACAAAATATTGACAATTTTATTAAAATAGTTTCTGTAACTTACAGGGTTTTTTTTAGAATGAAAATAACACCCAGAGCTTTCTTTTTAAAAATCCAGTAATTCCTTAGCTCCCAAACAGAGCAAGTTAAGATCTACCCACTATATCTTTTTATGATATATGTTAAAATATATATGTTAGATATATTTCATACATTTTACAAGTATTATAATCTGCCTTTTACTTCCTGTGGGAGATGGAGCTTGCAAATGACACTGGTGTACCCTATACATATAACACTGTCTTAACATCTGTGCTCGCACCACTGAAATAACAGTGGCATCAGTTTGACAAATAAGCTTTATCACCTTTTGAAATATACTACAAAATTATTTATTGATCATTTGTTTTATACTCATATTTGATTTATTTTTTTAAAGATTTTATTTATTTTTAGAGAGAGGGCAAGGGAGGGAGAAAGAGGGGAGTGAAACATCAGTGTGTGGTTGCCTCTCGTGTGCCCCCTACTGGGGACCTGGCCCACAACCCATGCATGTGCTCTGACTGGGAATCGAACCGGCAACCCTTTGGTTTGCAGGCCTGCACTTAATCCACTGAGCGACACCAGCCAGGGCCTCATGTTTGATTCTTAAAACTCATTTCTCATCAGCTAAAGATTTAATATTAAATATTTGCAATAAGAAAGACTTTTTCAACCTGTAAAGTATATACATGATTCAGTGCATGAGCCGTGGCATGAACTGTAAAACAGAAATTATTTGGATTTGATAAATATGTTCAAATTTCGTGTGTTTCATATATTTTTGGTTAGCTGTCTATGATAATACTGTAACTTTGATCTGGACAATTATACCATCTTACAAATAAAAGTTTTTGTAAAATAATAATCAGTTTGTTGGTGTTTTTCCCTACTGTAGATATTAACCTGTAGTTTGGTCCTTCCATTTTTTCTTTTAATTTGTTCTCCCATAAGTATTACCTGATATTTTTCTGACCTGGCTTAGAATTTCTATCCTATAACATTTATAACAAGGACCAAATTTAGTAGAAAAACATTTGCAAGATAAATTGGCCTAGAAGACCAAGACTAACACCCAAAGATTTACTTTCTCATGTTTAAATAAAGAGCTCATGTTCTAAATTTCACTTGCAGACACGCATCTTTTATCCAAATGTGAAGAAGAGAAGAAACTAAAAAAAGGATTATTCAAATTTTAGATTTGTAGGGAGAATAATGTTTTTTAGTCATCTTATTTGGATTCCCAAAATGCTAACTTAAACCAAGCCAAGCAGTGACATAAGACAGTGGATCCAAAGTCAGTTTATATTCCCAAGGTAACAATAGATGACCCCCAGCTGGGCATTCTCCATCGCCTTAGTCCATGAAGAAAGACACTCTGAGTACCTACTGTCTGCTCGGTGCTTGGGACACACAGATAAGTAACACACTGTCACCATCTCAAAGAGTCCTCAGTCCAACCGGGGAGAAGTGTGTAAACAGGTACTGAGGCATTGTGGGAAGAATGGTGCTAGAAATATTCACTGGACTGTTGAAAATAGAACATTCGAGATTATAGTGTTAAACGGAGATGGAATTTGTGTGAAATCTCCCCTATTTCAGTTGTAATTTTAATTTATATGTTGAAAATTGGGGTTTTATTACCAAGAAATTTGCAGTTTACAACCTGATACCTTTAAAAAATGCAGTGTATTAACATGGTTTTCAGACATTTTTAATTTTATCATAATTTTAAGCAATTTGATCACTTTAGGTTGGGTGAACTAAATTTTGTTTTAAATTATACTGTTTCTTCTGAGGAAATGTAATGGACTTCATTACTCATACTAATGATGTCAAAACCATTTTTAAACTATACCTAATCACTGGAATAATCTTCAGTATAAAAGATCAAACATAAAAACCAGAATATCTTTATACTTTGGAAGTTTTTATTTTTAGTATAGCCTCTTATCTCTGAAGCATTTTAAGTAAATGTACATGCTATGAAGAAAGTCATACGTACTCATTAAGTATGGGTTCTAGTGAAATAAAGGTAATATTTCCTGTCAGTTGAGTAATTTTCCTGAACCCTGAGTAAAGAGATGCCTTCCCATAGAGATAAAAAGAAAACTAATACATATAAACTTCAATAATAGGAATGCTATTAAATATCGAGAACTTACTGTAATGTCTATATGCTTAACATAGAAATGACCATAGAAATTAGACTCACTAATTTATAACTTCAGATACCATCAATGCATAATTATTGTCAAAATACAGAACATTTGAAACATGTTTCAGTATTTTAATAAATATTAAATTGAAAATAAGTTAACCTGGTGGGAAGAAACCTTTTAACTCTTGTTGGGTTTCTTGGATGATTTTAAATGCTTGGAAGGAATCAGCGTTTCACTCCAAGCCTCCAGATTTTGTCATTTACCTGGAAGAAAAAGCCTTGCTGGGCTGACAGCGCAGGCCTTTGCCTTCTGCTCCAAGGGATTCACAGCCTCCCAAGGGAGAGGCCCCAAAGAGGTGGCTGGAGCAGCCTAAACCACCACTCCAGGCAGCAGGGCTCATTCCTGGCGTCGGAAAGGGTAGATAACCTTAGATCACCTTCAAAAGGTTTTTTTGGATTTCTTTGTTTTTTTTTTTTAATTGTTTTTATTTCTTAGAGTGGACAGGCAAGAGAAAGAGGAGAAAAACATCCGTCGGTTGACTCTCACATCCCCACTACTGAGTAGCTGCCAGGCAACCCAGGCATGTGCCCTGACTGGGAATTGAAGCGGCAAAATATAGTCAAATTTTAAGGAAGACACCTATTAATATCCATTTATTCACAATAGTACAGAATAGATCTGAATTATACCCTGTATTTTACATTTTGCTTATTTGGTTAAGGAGGGGTGGCATTTAATTGATTCAAAGTGCCCTTTTATGAACCTGGTAAAATGTTTCCAGTAGATGCTTAAAAATGCACCACTTACTTATCCATTTGTGACTGTGGTTGCCATAGTATATCCTAAGTTTTTAAAGAAAACAAATAATAAAAGGAGTCACGATTAGCTGTTATGTAATAGCAGCTCTCTGCAGTCCAGAGTCTCTGTTTGTTTCAGTACCTAGAGTAAATCTGGGTCAGGCAGACTTACTGTGTATTTCGCCTCGGACTGGTGGTTCCTCTGCCAAAGTCTAATATATAGCACTGGAGTTGCTGACCTGATTTCCTTTGGTGGAGCTGTTAATGTGATGTCAACCATGCTGTTTTCTCCATTCTGTTACCCTTTGGCTTATCTGCTGGTCTGGTACCTAGGAAAAGAACGAGAAGAAGAATAGGAATTCATCCTGAGTCTATTTCTTTCAGGAGATAATTCTTCTATGAGAGTGTAATATTTTTTCTTGCTGATAACCCACACCTTTATTTTCAATTCTACCCTAGTTGCCAATAGAGACATTGCCCCTGGCCTTAAATCTCTTCCTAGTTTATGGGTCTTTAAATGTACTGAAAATAGGGTCCTTTTCCATGAGGGAAGACATCCTAACTATTCAAGGACTGGTAAGGCGTCTGTTTAATCTTAGGTGTATCCATTTTAAACCCTGATTAAGCAGGGAGGAATTACTGGACCTGTGTCCCTCCTCCCATGCCGGACAGGGCCACTGACTCCCAGTGCAGTCAACGCTCAGTCCTCTGAAAGGAGCAAGAAGCTCTTCAGACAGTTTTTAGCATAAAGTCAGCAGGGGACAAATCAGCTCAGAATCCAGCTCTAGGTAACCAGAGAGAAACAAAGGTACTGAGGCTAGAGCACCCCATGCTCCCACCCACATCCTGCCACAGTTTGGTAAGAGTCTGGGAGGCCCAGCCTACATGCTAACCCTGGTTCTTCTGAAGCAAAGAGGTTTCTTGTCCAGCACCTGTTTGTTTTTACCGTCTCCGTCCCTGCTCCCTCTGCCCATTTCTTCTCCTCCTTCAAGGTGAGTAAGTGCAGCTAGAGAAAGGGTGCTGATGTGATTTTTCTAAGTAAGATTTTATTTTTTTTATCAAGGCAGTTTTTAAGTCATAGAATTAGATATGACTAAGGTTTTTAAATTCTGTGACTTATGCAGAATGATAACCAAATAGTGTACATCTTATTAGCAGTGGCCACTTGCTGAAGCTAAATTTTAATTGAAGAGGTCACGTAACTGCAGAAGCTTATCATTAAGAGTTTATTTTTCCAGGGTTTACCTATAATGTCAAATCCAAACAAGCCTATAGTGCTTTCATTTACTCTAAAGGCGTTTTTCAAAATCCCTTCATGTTCGTATCATTTCTACCAAGGCATGGCCATCCTGGACAAATACCAGTCATAAGTAAGATACGAGGTGAGGGAGGAATTTAGTAAATTGTAAGATGTAAAATGAGTAGTCTGACCCAATTTCCGATAATCCCGTATTTCCACCTGGTGGTAAGTGATTGTATTTTTTAGTACATTTCCACCTTTATGAACATACTGATCATAGAAGATTATCTGCCAATTCTCTTTTCCATTTCTAGTCACCAGTGACTCATTCATTTTAAACTGCACAGTAAATCATTGGTGCCTATGAAGGTATCACAGTACCAGTGAGTCAGAAAGGCATCTGCACATTTTCATTCATTCTTAGGAAGGAGGAATTTTCCTTCTCAGGGGAGTTGAGGGATTATACCGCTTTACAGCCATTCTTCAAATCATATAACATTAAGATTTGACATGATTATTCTTAATTGATTTGGGACAAGACAGACAATTCTCATATTTGGTTTTGCCTTCAAATTTAATGACATACAGGCTTTGAGAAGGGAGCAAATTCAGTTTTTCTAGTGAGTATTGCATAGCATTATTAAGGGTACAGTACTGTGCATAGAATGTAAAGTTATGTCCCATTCCTTTACTGAATTCATAATTTTGCCAGGAAGGTTTTTTAAATCCTTCTTTCCCATTTCATATTCTTCATTCTCTCTTTCCCTTTTCTTCTGAGAATCTCTCTCATATCCAAAGAAGCAAGTTTAGGATTCATTTATTTATTCCTTAAATTTTTACTGAGAATTTGCAAGCCAGGGTGAGCGTCGGGAATGCAACGGCGATAAGCATGATCCTTACCCTTTTATAGGGCTTAGAGGCTAGTGCAGGGCTTAGGGGCCAGATCATCCCTACTGCCTGTCCTTGTAAATAAACTGTTATTGGAATGCAGTCATATCCATTCATTTACATATCGTCTGTGGCTGCTTTTGCACCTAATGGAAGACTTAAATCATTGCAACAGAGACCCTATGGCCTGCAAATGTTTACTACTTGGCCCTTTACAGGAAAAGTTAACCAATCCCTGCTCTAGTGGATATGGTGGAGCTGTAAGTGCAGGCTGGAGCCTGCAAAGCCTTATCAACCTTGTTAAGCAGGGTAAATTCTCCATAGGAAAGAGGACCAGTGGTGACATATTGTAAGCAGGGGGAGTGACATGTTCGTATTTCAATTTTAGAAGTCACCATTGCTGCTGAGTAGAAAAAATAATGAAAAGAGATAGTAAGTACATGTGTTAGAAGGAGAAGCACTGAAACACAGTGGTTAAACGCACAGGCTCTTGAGTCAGACCGCCTGGATTCAAATTTTGACCCTACCATGTAATGATTCCAATATTAGTAACTTTCCTGCCTGATTTTGTGTCTGTAAAATAGGGATGGTAATCACGGAACCTAACTTGTGGGATTAAATAAGTTAACATACAAAGCACTTAGACCATAGTGTAAGTTTGTAATCATCATCATTATTATTGTTGTTGTAGGAATCCCGTTAAGAGATGAGCATGGTCTGAACTAAGGCAGTCACAGTCAGGGTGGCGGAGAGAAGTGGTCAGATTCAGGAGCTACACCGGTGATAGAATCGGCAGGAGTTAGTGAGTGGTTGGATGTCAGCAGGACAGTTAAAAGAGAAACAAGAAGTGACGGTGAAATGCAGGGTTGTACCTGATCAGTCGAGTGGATGGTGGCTCCAGTCCCCAACATAGGAAGGACAGCAATTGAAACAGGTTTGTGATGTGGGGTTGATGATAAGTCCAGTTTGGGGTACCTTAAATTGAGGTACCAGCTTGGTATAAGTAGAAATGTTCAGGAAGCAGTTGACTGTAAGGTCCAAAGAACAGAAGTGTGGTGTGGGCTGAGGAAATGGATATAGGAATGATGGGTACAAATCAGGTCACCTGGTTTGGAAGAAAATGAGATAACCCAGAATGAGGGTAAAGTAACAGGTAGACTTTTAACAGAACTGTGAATATTAACCAACAGTTAAAATTTAGACAAAGAACCCTTAAGTCAAAAAAAGATCAAAACAATTTTGGAGGACAATACGCTTGAAGTTTGAGTCCATTAAATAGTCTCAATGAGGTGGCTGAATTTGAGAAATACTTACATTTGCAATTTCCGTGTTAGCATAGGCCAACCTACACCATACTGTGTATTTCACAATTTGGCTACCTTGATTTCATGTACTATCGTACTCCATACCCTTCCAATATGTAATTTTTTCCCTGTGGAATATTAGGCTACATGGTGGATTGCCATGGTTATGGATGCTGACATCTGATGATCTACTTTTCTATATTTTTTGCCATTTCTTTCCTCCCCATTTTTTCCTCCCTCATTTTTTACCTCCCCAGTTACTGATACACTGCAGCCTTGATGAAAAAAATTGAAGTTGAGGAGAATGTGTTTCTCTTTTTTGTGTTATATTTGATTCATAGTCAACAACCTGGGTCCAATATCTTGAGTTTTATCATGATTTCTCTATTTTAATTGGTTTACAACACTGCCATAAGTGACTATAATTTTGGAAATAGCCAGGAGGTAAATTGGAGAAATGGATACTCTTTCCATCATTACAATCACTTCTCAGCTTCAGTGCCTACCTCTCTGTTACAGTCGTGCTTGGCTTCCACACCTTAGTATGAGTTAATGCTTATGACAACCTTCTGTCCTTCATGACTACAAGAATTTCTGGCAGGACTACCTTGTACCTTTTCACCTGTGACCCTTAGTAGGGCTCACAGGTCAGTTTCCAGCTAAGTGTCTCCTGGAGGGTGTGCAGACCAGAAAGTCCTGATCCAAAAGCCTTATCTACTCACAACACACGGCTGGGGAAAGGCATCATATTTAAAGAATCAGGCTGAGTGTTGCACTTTATATTTCATTATGTGTTATTGGAGGAAAATTGTGGAACAACTTTGAAATGGACCAAGGGGAGTACTGGGTGTTCTGTCTGACTCAGCTTTCTAGGTTATCTTGCACTTTTATCACCTCTGACTGTTTTACGATCCCGTAAGTAATAGAAACTGACAGTAATGCAAAAGTTCTTGTCCATTGAAAAGGAAACTGTGTACTGGGGAATGCAATTGGTTACTGCCCTCTGGATAGCAAATAATTTTACCAGTTCTGCATCTATTTTTAATTCTTTGCAGTATTTTTTTTTAATTTTAAGATTCTGCTTAACCAAACATCTATTCCAATCTGGCAGCACCAGACCGGAAGTGGTTAGGAACACTCCTTCTTTGCAATATTCTTGACATTTATATATTTGTCTGTTCCTTGAATTTACCTTTTGACCAGTTGTCACATCATATGTATTCCCATCAATTAAAATCTACGTCCCATGTCCACAGAAAATTCTCTTGTTATATACACACGTGTGTTTGTATAAGCATATATTAATAACATCTAGAAAGACTTACAAGAAACTGCTGGCTATGACGGCCTCTATAGAAGAGAAGGCAGGACAATTTGCTTTGTACTCTCTGCCCTTTTGAATCCTTTGAATTTTTTATCATATGCTTACATTAACTAAATAAAGAGATAAAATTTTAAATTTCATTTCTGAACTCTCTGGAATCAGTTCTAGGCTAGTCCTTACCAAAATGTCAACATCAACTAAATTCACCTCTGAGCTAACTTGACTTTCTAAAAAGAAATTTTTATTCCTAAATAAACTGTTAGCATCACACCTAGAGCCTTACTTCTGTACCTTTTAAAACAGAGTTTTAAACTCTATTTTGAATCTAGCTCTATCACTATAAAAGCATTTTGGTCAGATGGCACTAATTCTCTTTTGACTCTTTTAAAGGATCCCATCTTCTTAGTGTGGAGTGGGGTGGCAGACCATCAGCCTATTTTGTAGTAGTTCTGAGTTCACCTTGCCTCTTGCTGGACTAAGCATACTCAGTAATCCCCTTCTCTAATTATGGCAGCTCTCCCTATAAGCTAGAGAGGTTCTCAGGTTCGGATGCATGGTGAAATCACCAGGGGAGCTTTTAAAAATATGAATGCCCAGACCAATTACATCACAAAGTCTGGGGGTGGGACATCATTATTTTTTAAAGCCACTGGGGTGATGTTTATGGTGACAGTGCTGCTTCAAGCAGAGAATAGTACAGGTTTAGCAAAAATTTCACATACAAGCAAAAGCGCTCTGGATCTCGGACAAAAAGATCTGCTATGTGACGAAGAGGCTTCAAGCAGGAAAGAGGGCAGACTTTACCAAGTCCCCTTACACACAAAATCTGTTTTTACCTGGATTCCCTCTGGAATGGAGCAAATTAGGTTTTGGGTATGATTGAAAAGCCCAAACTGACTTGGTTACAGTTATTACAGCTTTTTTAAAAATAGCTCTCCATTCAGCTGAGGTCTTACCGAATAGAATATAATAAATTGGGACCGTTGAATGCATATCCCTGCCTCGTTCCTCTGCCATTAGGGGCATGAAGCCAGCCTAGTGATGGGTGACATCTAAGACCACTGCCACCATATGGCTACATCACTGACACAAAGCTATATTTATTGTACACCAGGAAGCTGGGGAAACCACATATTGTGCAACATGACCTATTCAATGTCTGTTTTTGTTAAAGGTCCCAGAACCTCATTGCTCTAGCGCACAATAATGTGCTTTATTAAGAGTCTTTGGTAGAGAGTTAGGTTTAGAAGGGGAGAAGGAAAAATCGCATCCATTCATTTGTTTTGGAATGGTGAGACAGGGAAATAGTCTACTTCTTGGCATGCTCTTCCCTCCCTGAAAGACACCGTCTAATGGGAAGTCCTGATTACTGGCCTGCTTCTGTATGATGCTTTAAACCATTTTACTGTTGCCTCCGCCTTTTTGAAAACATGAATGAAAATTGATATCATAATAAACTCTGCTGTGGTTTGCCTTCATGTACTCATTGTATATCCCCCTCCCTTTTGTATAGGAAGACAGAGATGTCAATAACCCCATGCCTAACCGTGGAGGCAATGGACTAGTTCCTGGGGATGACAGATTCAAACCTGTGGTACCCTGGCCTCATGTTGAAGGAGTAGAAGTGGACTTAGAGTCTATTAGAAGAAAAAACAAGGCCAAAAATGAACAAGAGCGCCATGCTGGAGGAGAGAACCAGAAAGACATAATGCAGAGGCAGTATCTCACTTTTAAGCCTCAGACATTCACCTACCGTGATCCTGTGCTCCGCCCAGGGATCCTTGGTAACTTTGAACCCAAAGAACCTGAGCCTCCTGGAGTGGTTGGTGGCCCTGGAGAGAAAGCCAAGCCATTGGTTTTGGGACCAGAATTCAAACATGCAGTTCAAGCCAGCATTAAAGAGTTTGGATTTAACATGGTGGCAAGTGACATGATCTCACTGGACCGCAGCGTCAATGACTTACGACAAGAAGAGTAAGCACACATTCTTTCTAAAATTGGGGCAGCTATTGTTTTGATAGATGTTTAGTTAGATGCTTAGAATGGAGAAAATATTTATGCCTTTATTTTAAGGAAATCAGAGGATCGTTGGTCTGCAAAATGACCAGAAGGAAGAGATCTCTCTGTTTGTGCGGTGATGTTGAACGTATGGCATAAAATTCTGGGATCTTCCTCCTGAGCCCTACTCAAAATCTGCCCCCCAGACTGGCACCAGGTTGTGAATTTTTTGCTACTAGTCCACAGTGAAAACATGAGCTGCACCAGGAAGTAAATCGGCTGTCAAATTGTTTAGTTCCACTAATGATTTCTTCATAACAAAATTTTCTTGGTGTATTGCTTTTCATTCTGGATCTAGCTCCTTTTTTGTTGTGGACAAATAGCAAATAGCAACATTGCTCTAGATATCTCATATAATTAACTAGATATTTAGATTTCCTTTAATTTTTTGCCTCAACACTGAAACTCCTGAGTATGCAAAAGAGTACTCAGACTGGTAAAACTATGGCCTACACTTTTCAAATTCTTTTCATGTGCTGGTAGAGTTTAATTAAAAATGTAGGATATCTAAATCTCAGCTTTGGATAGATGGTGATTATTGAATGAACTCAAAACCTTGCTCTTTCAGTTTATTCAATAACCGATTCTACTCTTCCAGGATCTAAATGGTGTCCATTAACATGGGTGCATATTTAACTCACTGCTACTAGAAAAACTCTCTAAATGTATTCCTAATGACACATTATTAAGAAATCTTTACTGTAAAGGCTAACACAGCATGTGCATGCGTGCACACAGCAGGAGCATTCTTCATGACCACAGAGTAAAATTCTGTTATCCAGTCGACTTTGTCCCTGATATAGTGCTATTCAGTAGCCTTTGGACATGCATATTTTATTGGTCAGAGTGAGAGGGGTGAAGGAAATACATGAAAAAAAAGGCATAGAAGTATAGAGCCATGATGGTGGGAGGCGTGACCTCTTATACGGAGAAGAGTTAGAGCATCTCAAAGGACTGTGAAGGAAGAACCTTGGAGCAATTTATTCCTAATCAAAGTAGACATTTGGCCAGTTGTACAGCTGCCATATTCACAAATAAAAGTAGCAATTGCTTGGTTAAGTTTGAATTTCAGGTAACAATGAAAAACATTTATTTAGTTTAAGTATGTCCCCAATAGTCTACAGTAGAACCTATTTATACTGAAAAAAAATTTGTTTATCTTAAATCCAAATTTAACTGGGTGTCCTGTATTTTCTTTGGCAACCCTTCTAGGTGGGGGCGGGAGGGAGGATAGTTATTATGCAGCTAGAATCGCCAAGCAGGTATCCTTAGGGACCCATAGCAGGGTCTGCATCCCTCCTCCAGAATGTGTCCCAGTTACCTAAAACACAGCGCTCAGCCGCAGCACTCATCTCGGCTACAGAAGGCTGGCTCTCTGAGAAACTATTGATGGTGCTCTCATCACTGT